GAATCGTGTTGTGCGTGTGTGGATCTTGTGTGCTTGCAAGAATCGTGTTGTGCGTGTGTGGATCTTGTATTGTGTGTGTAGATTTCTTTGTGCTTGTGTGAAACGTTCCATGTATGTCTGGATCTGATCTTCTCCTATGCATGTATGAATCACATATTTGTATTTGTGAAAATTGAGACCGATCTAGCTCCATAAAGAGCAGACAGTTTGTAAAATGTAAATAGAAGTTGATTCTATTTGAATAATTCACCAAACTTTCTGACATCCATCTCTTTTGTGATGCAGGGCAACAATCTGCTACCTGGTCATCATGAAAACAAATTGTGGATCGAAAATGCAGGAAAAAAAGATGAGGATATCTACACCTGCGTATGTACCTGGATACACAATCACAAGATGTACAAAACCTCAGGTTCCAGGAAGCTTATTGTTCTAGGTGAGCATCTTTAGAAACAATAATGTGCATATACTTAATGAATATTTTTTATTTCGACATAGATAGAAACGTCTTCCCTTTTTATGTTACTCTGTTACACTTAATGAAACTTTTTAGACAAAGATTAACATAGTGTATTAGTGGATTTCCGGGTGGACATGTAGGGAGTGGACGCACAAAGGCTCATTCCCTGTTACCCTCCCTTTGGAACTATATTTTCTGCACGAACTTCAACACGATTTTAGCTATTGAAGTTGGTGTGAAATTTGTCTCCGTAATGAACTTGTTGAAACACGCAAAGTCAGTTAACGTACAAACTCCAGTAACATGTGCAGTGGGCAAGCTAGCATCCTTTGCAGCTAGCAACCTTCCAACAACAGCGGGGCATCCTGTGCCATGGACCAACTGGTGGCTGAATTCACTAAATAGCGAACATAATTCAAGAAGGATGTTTCCACCATTACTCAAGACGCCATTAGACCAATACAAGCTTCACCGGACTCACTACAGACAACAGTGACCTCATTCCAGAGCTGTCTCAGCGCCGTTGAGTCAGTGGCAGGTGATAACTTCAAGCAGCTAACAGCAGCTGAGTCTACCATCAAAACGCTCCATAGCCAGAACCAGTTTTTACTGAACCTCAAGAACCACTCACTGATATTATATCCCGCCACACGTTTCTGCTCTGCTTCTCCAGATTCCGACAGAACGAAGCAGCGCTGCGTAGGGCCAGGAATCATGAGCTCAAATACCGGTGCGCTGCTTTAAGGGTCTATTAGGATGTCAACGCAATGCTCGCTAAAAAGAGAGCTGTGATTCACGGTGTCATGCAAGCCCTGTATCAGAAGAACAACTGCGAGTGATGTGCGGAGACACGTTCACCTTTGGCTTGCCTGATGAAGCTCAGAAGTTTTATGATTGCAGATTCGGTAACTCAGAATTGGACTGTGTGTCACGGTTTGGACTGTTCATTTCGGCAATAGTTGACCAACTGATCTCAATGACGTATAAGTTCACCTTTCTGACATGCAATGTCAACCTCCCGCACCAAGGTATGATCAAGGTATAACCCCGAATTAGAATGATGAGAAATGAATGAGTAAAATCATGTCACTAATCCCTGATTTGAATTAAAAACATTAGATTTTTGTCGGAGACTTAAACTGTGTGATGAATCCAACACTTGACCGCTCCGGGTCTAAATCTTCAAGTCTTTCTAAAAAGGCCAAACTATTATCAGTTTTTATGCACCAGATAGGAGGTATTGACCCCTGGCATTTTCTATTTCCACAAATTAAGTCCTTCTTTTTTTATTCTAATGTACATCACTCATATAGCTGAATAGACTTTTTTTTAATTGACCACAACCTTCTCCCCTCTGTCACAAAAGTATAATATGTATCCATAGTAGAATCGGATCATGCCCCTGTATTGCTTAATCTTGTATTCCCTCTCTATCAATTACAACAATCCCATTGGAAACTAGACAGAAACCTTTTGGCCGATGAGAGCTTTTGTTAAATGATATCCCAAAAAATAGATGACTTTATAAATTTCAACAAAAAAGCTGATATCTGTCCTGTGGGAAACATTACAAGCAGTGATCAGGGGTGAGATCATAGCATACTCAGCTAAAATAAACAGAATGAAAAAATCAAGCAAGAGGAGCTTATAAAATCAGTATTTATGGTGGATGCTCAATACTCTTTTTCCCCTTCCCCCCCGAGTTCTACAAGAAAAAGCTGGACCTCCAAACACAATATAATTTACTGTTGACCGAAACAAAAACAGAATGTCTCCTATTAAAATCACGGGGATATGTTTACGAGCACGGTGACAAGGCTGGACGTTTATTAGCACATCAGCTTAAGTGCCGCTCAGCCTCTCAACAAATCCCGCAAATTCGCAAAGATGATGGCATTCTATCTCTTGACCCAGAAAAAATTAAGGAAACATTTACCTCGTTTTACTCAAATGTGTATACTTCAGAGATAAGAAATGATTGCTCTGACATGGAACATTTCTTCAATAA